TAACAGTACTTTTTACCACTAAATAGAGCTTTTTAGCTTTTTACGCCATTGTTATGGGATGAAAGCGGCTGCGCCTGCTCTTAACCACCGCTAAGCACTATAGGCTAGCTGTTTGAGGCCTCAATCGCTATACTTCCCACTATTGTACCGCTATCGGGTGCTATTTACTACACTGACTAGGAAGATGCAGAGAACATGACTGCAATACCAATTAATCTGCGCCTTTGTTTACTATTATTCAAAGTGGATGGTCTAGAACCAGAAATGACACACTCCTAGTGGGAAACGGTGGTAGCAGGTTGCATGTCTGTAGCATCATTTCCTTTGTCAAGAGACTCTATCTCAGCATCAGCACCAAGCATGCCCTCCCCCGACCACTTCCTCTTAGCGTATTTCATCCAAGCCATTGGTACGTATACTTATAGCTCCTCTACCAGAAACGCCATGGTCACTGCATACCATTTGTATATCCTCAAAATCCTCAAACAGTTTATCCTTGAGATTTAGAGTATTGGATGGGCCTACAACATTATATACGAAAATATTTAATATTATATTTAAGTTAATATATATGAAAATAACATGACATAAACCGACCTCTAAAATGACATTCCACACTTTGTCGGGACATAGTAAATTTTTGCATGCTAGGCTCCCAACCAAAACTAAAGTTATTCTTCATCAAGATCTCTACTGGTGCAATCTCTCTTTTATTGCTTTATCTTGTTAATTACATGATTATATCTAAAATCTTTTCTAAAATTTTCAACTGGAGCGGGTATCACATTCCTCAGAATCACGTGCTTTTTAAAATTACCATTTGCTTGCTTATTCCTGTTCTTAGCTTCCTCTACCAACAGTCTAAGCCTATATCATATAATCCATCTGTGCTCTTTTCTATCTCTCACTCCCTAGACCTTGAGATATTTCTTCTTGATCCTCACTCTATGACCCTTTGTCCATCCTATAACAAACTCGAAAACAACCTTTTCAAAATCTCAAAAATGTAGTTGGATCGAAGTATACATGCATATAGTCTAAAAAACACACACGTATATAATAATAATAATTAGATGAAAATACACATGCATCATTATTAATATGAGTATACAACTATTTACTTTACATACATATTGAATGTTAATGCCAATGTGTAATATTCATTACTTGAATATCCTAAAATATTTAAAACTGACACCTGTATCCCCTAAAGTTTTTGAAACTGACTCCTAAATACCCTAAAATTTTGAAAAGGCTTAATTACATTTAAATGCCCTATAGTTTTCGAAAACAACCTTAATGAATTATATTCTTTTTTTCCCAATGTATCTGACTGTCATATGCAACTCGCAACAATTTTATTTTGTAAAAAACTATAGTCACTACTTATTGAATTGCATGCTAAAGATTCCAAAATCATCACAAACTCAATTACGTTGCATCAAGATTTAATGATAAGAATTAATAAGTTAGAAAATAATGATAAGAATTAATAAAATCCTCTTGTATAATTACTTGTAGCTATGTAATTGGCGAGTGCGATAATTTTCTACCCACTAATGAATAAAAAATCGTTGGAGCAATTCTTTATTCACCAATGAAATCTAAAGTTACTCATAACAACGTAGCTTGAGGTTACTTGTAGCAATTCTCTATTCGCCAATGAAATTGTTGTAGCAATATAATTTTAGGTTACTTGTAGCAACTCTCTATTCAGTAATGAATATAGAGATGCAAAGTAGAGTGCAAACTTCACATAATTACCTAAACGATCATTTGTATGCTGAAATATATAAATGTCTGACACTCAAAGATGGATCATGGAATTTTTATGTTTGTCATATCATCATCCTCACACTTAGCTACTTGTGTTACGTGAAACTAGCATACTATTAAAAAAAGAAAAAGAACAAAAACAAAAACATGAAAAGTTACATTTGAAAACTGTACAGACCATTGAGGAAATAACAATGTTATACTATAGAAATAAGCAAGTGTTAATTACATTCAACTGGCTGACACGTGTCTCAAGCAGACTGCTGACAAGTGTTAAAAATAGGCACATCGCCTACTGACCAAAGATACGCAATTTCTGCACACTTAGAAACTATAATATTATTATATCATTATTATATTTATATTTATTATCAATAACTTTTATTATTTTTATTAGTTTATTTATATTTTATTATTATTTATTATTTTATTCTACATTATCAACATATTAAATACTAGTATTTAGTATGTTATTATATTATTCTATAATACATTTTAACTATTATATTTTTATATATTTAATAAATATTATTAATTTATTAGATTAACTATAATATAGTATAATATAATATAATATAGTATAATAAGCATGTCGATAATAACTATATATTAATTACATTTAATGTATTATGTTAGATATTATATTAACACATCCTCAAACTCAAAACCAAAACACCAAATTTAAAACACTTAAAAGATATTTTAAACTAAGCGTTGTGTTTTTAGTTTGATGATGATTTACCTCAAAAAACACCATGGTTTCTAAACGCATGGTGTTTTGTTTTTTGCAAAAACACCATGAGAATAAAGAAAACACCCTGGTATCCAAACGAAACCTAAAAATTTGGATAATCAAATGAGAAAGCTTCTATAGACAATAACGTGAATAAGCCGCCCTCTTAGTAATCACTTTGGAGTAGGAGTGAATCTTCTTCTCCTCAGTTGATAGACATAGACCTGCTCTAGCTGAACTGATTCTAGAGACAGGAGTCATCATCATTATTCGATTCTCGTTCTTTTTTTTATATATAAGATTAAGGAACAAGAGGGATTCATTAGACGAAATCTCTCTAAGAGAACGTCAAAATACATACGACATTCATCGAATATCAATGCCAGCATGAAAATTTAACCATCTGGAATCTTGAAATTGGAAAAACTCCTCCTCTAGAGAGAACTTATCCGCTTTAAATGTGAAAGCAATGAGGAATCACCATTCTAATGTATTGAATAACTCTGGCATTATTTTTCTTTCCATTCATCTTGTTCTGCTCTGCTCTGCTTCTGACAAATCAAAGATACTGATAGAGGCGCCAGCAGTTTGTCCAACAAAATATGGGAGACTGAGAAGCTTTGAGCATTGTTTTAAATATCCCTGATATGGCCCGATATATCCCCCGATATATCCTTTTACAGCGCTTGCCGCAACCGATATGGTCTTTAAATATCCTTTACCGCTTTTTGGCTATTTTGAGTGATAAATCCCCGATATGGCCGATATATTAGCCGATATGTGGACCAATATATCTTTTTATATAACTTGTTGCAAAATAATATACCGTGTTTGGAATTTTTGGATAAGATATCAAGATTTCCCCATTATATCAAATGAAATTTTACCCTAAAAAAAGCATATCGAATGTTGCAACGTTGCTTTGTACTTTTGTTTGTTTTAGAAGGTTGATTAGTGATCCTAAACATATATTATTCATATTTTGTATGCTTAAATTTCATTACATATGTTGAGATTACATTTTAAGGCATTATACTATGTATGAAAACATTCATTATGGCATTCCGATATTTACCACATATCCCCGATATTTCTCCGATATCCGCAATCCGATATGAATTTTGGTCATCCGATATTTCCCCGATATCCGATATTTAAAACTTTGGCTTTGAGCATCGTCACTCCTTCTGGAGTCTAGTAATAACAACAATGATTCCACTTCATTCCTCTATTGAGGCACTCCAACAAATTTATCTAAACTGGTGTCTAGAAAATGGAGGAAGTGATTCAGGGGATACAGTTAACAACCTTACCAATTAGTCATTTTCTTCAATTGCTTGATTCTATTAAAGTTGTTTGCCCTTCTTTCACAGTGCAAACTCATTGTAAAATTAATCAGCTAAAGTAGGACGATTTCCGATTTCTTGCAAGACTTGGTTGACGTCTCTTTTTTGTTGTTTTCTGTCAATTTTTTCCCCATCCTTTGTGATCCGAGTTTACATTCAGATTTTGCTTATCCATTGACCTTGTGAGGAAATCTTACTTTGTGTTTAGTTTACAAGACACTGTATTTAAGCTTATCAGCTTCAGACAAAAAGGGGATTTTCTTATCCATTGATCTTGCAAGGAAAGTTTTCTTTGTGTTTAGTTTTACTACAAACTATGGAATTAAGCCTATCAGCTGCAGACAAAAAAGATTTTTCTTTATTGATATTGTCAGGAAAGGTTTCTTTTTCTTTAGTTTCACTAGCCATTATGTATTTAGGTCCATCAGCTGCGGAAAAGAACTCTCCCTTAAAAAGGCATATCCTATCAACCATATGTGCTCAAGTCTCCCTTTAAAAGGCATTCCCTATCAACCCATCACCAGCAGACCTCCAATTTTTTTTTTTGGGTCCCAAAGAAGAGGTTTGATGTAGGATGACTTTCTCTAGGAAAATCCTGAAGGAAAAGATGAAGTAAAAAGGGGAAATATATTTTCAAGAATTCTTTTAAAAGTAGAATTATGATTTTATTAAAAAATTTCTTTTACCCTAATCTATGAAAGAGAAATTATTAGTTTATGAATTTTATCTGATCAATAATATTTTTAGAATCTAGTTGTACGGCGGGTTTCAATTTAGTAAAAGTAGGTTCCTCCTTGTTGGGGATTTTTTTCTTCTTGAACAAGCTATGTAAATCTATGAAAGACTTTTTCTTTAAGATGTGGAAAGTTATGTTTTTAGATATTGTGTTACTCAATCTTGGGTGTGTGAGGTCATTGGTTCATGTGTGATTCGTGAGAGCCACTGATCTAGACATGAGGCAGAAATTTTTTCGTTAATGTTTGTTATCATCCCCCATCAAAGTTGTATTGTTTGTGGCGCCCATCGTCCTTTCTATCTACTTCGTAGTTACATGATATGGATTGAAAGCTGGAACGCGTGGTTATTTTCATTGCAATCATCATTGTTACGTGTACGTTACCTGTTCCTTCCTCTTCAATTTACAGCTGAAAAATTCCGGGAATTTGTGGGAGAAGAAGCTTCATCTAAGAGTGGTAAGTTCACAATCTTTAACTGCTTTGATATGGGATCAGGCACGCTCTCCTGTGGTATCAAAGAGGGTGTAAAACTTTACGTCTACAATATCAGAAGTGCACATGTGGAGAAAGTGAGACAGAGAGCCACCGAGATGGCACTAGCTGAGGCCTTAAAGGAGGGTCTAAGCAACAGTGAAAAACAATCCATTAAAGCTGGAACCAAGGCAGCAAAGCTTGCCACTCGCCAAGCCAAAAGGATTCTTGGGCCAATCCTTTCATCAGGATGGGACTTCTTTGAGGCCATTTACTATGGAGGAAGCATGACGGAGGGTTTTCTGAGAGGAGTTGGAACCTTGTTTGGGACTTACGTCGGTGGATTCCATGGAGAGCAGAGGCTTGGGAAGTTGGGGTACCTTGGTGGAAGTCATTTTGGGAGTTGGATTGGGGGAAGAATTGGGTTAATGATTTATGATGTTGTGAACGGAGTGCAGTATCTCCTTAATTTTCCTCAGTCTGAGGATAGCCCACAAGAAATAAACACGTACAAGAGAGTGGAGGATTCTGAATCTTATGATTATACAACGCCCTCATCCAAATCCACTGAATCTTATGAGTTTGCAACACCTTTATCGGATGAATCCATTGATTACGAGAGTAGGATTGAGGATTCTGATAACACTGAATCTTCAGGTGGATGGGGGTTCTTTTGAGGTAATGGAATTAGATTGTAAATTTTTCAATGATTGCCTCATCAGTGTTTCAGATTTCACTTGTATATTAATCCCTTGTTTGGCTATGTTACTCTTGGATATATCTGAAACACACAGGTACGTTTTTGTGATTTTCATTAGAGCATGTTATGTCGATAGTTGAGTGATAGTACCTTGAGAGTAATGAAGTTTCTGCTGAGAGTGTACCAAACGAATGACAACGATATGATAGTCTAAATTCATTTTGCATTTAGTTCTACTTTGTGTTTCTGAAATTACATCACTTTTTTGTCGTGTAAATGGTGATTGCATGCGTTCACCTCCCGTGTAAAAGTTGCAGATGTTCATCTGCGTGTTTATTGTTGGATGTTAACTTCTTTATCTCCTTATTGACATAGAAAACTGCATTGCTGAATATTTGCTTGGTTGTTTCATTTAATAAACGAAAGCTTTGTTCATGAAATAGATTGCTTAAAATTTTACAGAAGTAAGTTGACCATCAACATGTTACTAAACTCACTGTTTCCTGTATGGAACTTGTGATCTTTGTTATCTCTGTTTGTGCGACACAAAAATGTGGCCCGAGATGACAACAAAAGTGTCACAAGTTACAACTTTTGATACAGCGCCTCTACTATATAATATCTTCAGAATGCTAATGACATGGGAGCATACTATGTATAAGTTGTATAATTTTGATTATGCGGGAAAAAAAGAAGTATAAATTGTCTTTTTATCTTTAACAGATCTCTTGTGATTAGCTACAAATTTAACAAAACGTACGGTATAATTGTTCCCCTTCTTTTAGAGCCCCATTTGAGCTCCATTCTTCAACTTAATACACTTAAATTTGTTTTTTCTATGCGCCACAAACACTTCACTTGCCGAGAATAATCCCTCTCTTAGTCATCAGTTGCTGACAGGAGAAGCCATCGCCATCCACGGTGCCCCTCCACCACATACCTTCGCCGGCCGCCCGCTATTGCTGCCTTCTTCGCACCGTCCTCGTTTCGGGGCTCCACTCCCAGCTTTCAACAGGACGCCGAAGAGCTTAAGACATGCCACATTGTTTGCCTCCACATCCTCTCCTGTTGCCTTTTCTTCTTCGATCTTATTGGTCTTTCCTTGCTCGATTCCAACTCCTACTGACGCAGCTTCTTTTAGCAATAAACTCGTGTTCATGTCATTCATGTCAACATAGTTTGAAAGGGAGCTGAGTAGACGCTCGCAATGCTGCTTTGCTTGTATGAGCTCATTGTTCAGTATCTGGTTGTCCTTCTTGAGCTTCTCGTTCTCATTGGAGAGCTCGATGAAATGCTGAGAAGGAAGAGGAGGTCGTGGTGGAGGAGGAGACGAGGTTGAGGACGAGCTGTGGATATCGAGAGATGTGGATGTCGAGGTAGGCGTGGCAGTGTTGGTGTTCTTGACTTTGTCGTCGTCATTGAGCAATTTGTTGGTTGTGGACGGATTTAGAGAGGCTTTCCGACGACGTATCTTGCAGAGGAGGGCTCGATCGCCTCGCCGGAAGTTGTCATTGGCGAACTCCCAGCGGTCTGGCACCACCTTGCGGAAGCCCTGCCAATGCCACCGTAAGAGTGTTTGCATAGAAAATTATAACCCTCACCATAACTTAAAAAAGTTATAGTACAAGGTTTAGGCGTGGGCTTTTTAACGTGGTGCACTGAAGAAATCCAAGTTCTGACTACATCAGTCACTTATTTTCAAGATTCAATCCATAAAGATTACTCAATGCCCACATAGCTTCAAAATTTTTACGTAATGGAAGGGCCTAAACATGCTGAGTTGGATCGGATGGTGTTATCTGAGCCCTATGGATGGATGGTGACTATGAAAACACCAAAATATTTTGTACGTGACCTCTCCAATTTTACCAAAGCATTTAAGCTTTTATTAGAACAAAGCAAACACGCAACATGTTCAACACAAAGATGAGAGGAAGTGGGATATATACGCTAGCTGTAGAATGATTTCTACAAAATATCTGCAAGTAAATAGTTTGCCTGCTTGAGATCAGTTACCTCATCATGCTTTGAAAATTAATGAACATTCTATATATAATATAAATCAGCTTTATCCGTATCAAATTAAAACACTTGATAACTAAGAAGCAGACATAAAAAATGAGTAAGGTTGAATAGCTAAACATCGTGTATCACAAGAGTTTATACATGACCTAGTTGACTGAAAATAAGGCCGAGAAATAACATTGATGCAGATGGTCAAAAGATGATTCTTGACATCATGTAACTAACTTAAGCCTTAAGGAATAAAAAGTTTCCAAGGTGGAGATTTTGATAATTGGATAACAATTCAGACGGCCAGAATATTATCTTTTTATTTTGAAAAGGCATAAAGTTCGCATTTTTCCACGGCAAGCTTCTCATGTGATTCATTTTTGGCACTTTTTCGTGGTCTAGCCAATCATAGTCCAACAAGACTTCTCCTACTAATTGCCTATCAAGCTTTTATGTGATGAGTACGGTGATTGGCATCATCCCTCTGCGAGTAGTCTTTGATGCCCACTAAATTTGAAGATATCAACAGTATTAATAATGAGAATCCACGCTAAAATGGGAAAAAGAATATCTAGCTCTACAACTACGAGTAGTGATGGGACCCACTGCACAGCTATATACCATTGTTTTACTTTTTCTAGATCTCTCGTACTTGAGGGCCCCTGGATCAAAAAAAATAAAACTTTATATTTAAGTTTACATAATATTAATTAGCGTATCATCATCTCTCTCTTTTGCTGCACAGCTATATACCACACCCTCTCTTTCTTTTGCTGCAGTGCACTGGGCCTCATATGGGATTTTAAAACTTTTGGAATCTCATGTAAAGCCCGGTGTACTGTAGCAAAGAGAGAGAGAGAACATGATTAAAGTTTTGGTTGGGAGTATGCTCCTATCATTTTCCTAATATCTTCTGTTTAATTGAGATACACCACGGTTGTATCACATTAGCTTAACTGAGAAAAGACTGAATGACGTTTTTGAGGGGAAGCATATCTTCATCTAAGACGCACGGGCGTAAACATCAACAAAATATTATATTATAAGCTGAGAAAAGACTAAATTGCTCTCAAATTAAAATTGAGGGAGAGAGTGCCTGCATCGGTCTAAGATTTGGAGAAGCTGTTGGAGAATATGACTTTTGCTCTCCCTCAATTTTAATTTGAGAGCAATTTAGTCTACTTATCGATAAAACTACTTACATAGTCTAAAATATTTTCTCCAGATACAGGAGATTCGATAAAACTACTTATCGATGTACGTTGTGTACTTATCACATTAAGAGCATCTCCAACAGCTTCTCCAAAATTTTCTCCAAAATGGGGAAGCAAAAGTCATATTCTCCAACTAATTTTTACACCAACTCCAACAGCTTCTCCATTTTGAAGAATCCATTTTTTTCTCCAAAATTTTGGAGAATGCTGCAGATTTGGGGAAGCTTCCCTCCATCCCTATTTTGGGGAATGAGATGGGGAATCTGTTGGGCCAAAAACCTAACTAAATTCTCCAAAAGTGAGAAATGGGAAAGCTGTTGGAGATGCTCTAAATGCTAATAAAATATTTTAGACTATGTAAGTGGCTTTAATGTGATAAGTACACAACGTACATCGATAAGTAGTTTTATCTCATCTCCTGTATCTGGTCCCCATACTTATAAATCCATTTCGTTTAGCTAGTTCAAAGGCATGGAAAATGTGCAACCTTCCAGAAGGAAAGATGGGGGTTGTTGGCAAGAGACAAAAGGGAAATGGTTGTTGGGTCAAATAGTAAAATTTCAATATTGCAGGTAGACCCAGAGTACAGCTGTTTTTGTCAGATTCTGGGAGTTTCTTGTTCTCGACTTTTGACTACGACGGTTGAGTGAGCTACCCACTAACTTCTAATTTACATAATGAGTCACACATGGCATATAAATATTGCGCTTATCTATTTCAAGATTTTGACTAAGCACCGTAAAGCCAATATCTGTTATCATTGAAATTGAATTTAAATCTACAACATCTTCAGCGAGAAAATCGCTTCCTTACTTTATTATTATGAAGCGTGCTGCAGAATTTGTAGTAGAAGTTTCAAGCAAACAATTTTCATGTAAGCCTTTTCTTTTTCTTTTACAAGTTCAACACAATTACAAAATAAAATGACTACTACACATGCAAGAGGAAAAATTCCGCTGAGAAAGAGAGATTTCGACAAGGTTGAACTTTATTTAATAGTAAATAAGACCATTTCTTTTTAGACTTAACCTTCATATATAAAACATGGAAAAAAAAAATCTTTGCTATTAATCATTCCAAGATTTTGACTCAGCACCATAAACCAACTTTTACGATTAACAAACTTTAGACGCGTCTTTATCACATTAAAATTTCTTGCATCTTCTAATTCTTTAGTGACTATAATCAAAATGTTCTAAATTTATGTGGGAAAGGTCCAAACAAATTTTTTATTTGATTCAGTTACACAATTAATAAAAGATGGGTTTCCAGATCATTTTCATTTCTTATTCCATATTTAAAAGGTTAATGGTATTTCATAGCAAATACAACTACCAACGTACCTTCTGCATGTCAAAGTCACCGAACCATTAGACCAAAGCTTGAAAGCAGGACAGAAAGTTAATTAGACTCATGCAGCGTGCTGTATCAATTTTTCATTTTAAATTATGCTTAGAAATTCATGGCTAGCTAAAATTGAACCTGGACGCTCTGACACCATGTCAAGGTCTCCTAATCGTTACACCAAAAACTCTATGGTGAAAGTTCAGAGATATAATTTTATGCTCTTTTAACACCCTAAACTGCACCCGTCTTCAAATTAATACATCACGCCTGTTATTTAAATGATAACCTATTGTTATTCATTGTTCCATCAAACTTGTTAATAATATGGTAATTAACAGAGAGCATTCATTCATCACCTAAGATCCTACGCTCATTAGATCATTAATTAACCCAGCCTATGAATATAACTAACTTGATCGAAATACTCTTCAAAAGTCTCTACGATAATTAATCGGCGATAAATATTTGAACATGCTGGGAGCTCAAAATTATAAATATATATTCCAAGTTGAAATCAAATTAACCAAGAGCAAGGAGACGAGGGGAACGTACATAGGTATTGAGCTGCCGAACGAAGCTCGAAAAATTGCAGTGCTTGAAGTGAACAGGCAGCAAATCCCTCGCAAACTCCACAGGCTTCCACACGACAAACGTCGTCCCATTCTCCCCCCAAGAAATCACCTCCTTCGTCCCTTCGTCGTCCACCATCTCATGCGTCTTCATCAAGAACGGCGCCAACCCTCCGTTGGCCCTAACCCTACTATTATTGTTGTTGCCACTACGACTACGACTGCTAACTGAAATCATCATCGTAAAAATTTATTGTATGTCAATAACTCGATAAAGAATTTATTAAGAGAGGAGATCGAAGAGGTTGTTGTTTAATGCGAGAAGAGGAGGAGAGCGGTCAAGAACTCCCAGCCCCAGACGTAGAACCCGCAGATGATCATGAGGATCCAGTGGCAGCTCCCGAACTCTATCGACCCGAATCCGCTTACTCTCTCTACTTCCATATCATTACCTACCCTCGATCAAGAAACTTCAATCTTCATTTTTAGAGCAATTGGAGATGTTCCTCAATAACGCGCTTTTATTGAAGGAGGAGGGTCGCTTTCTTGTTCCCTTCTTTTTCCTCCCTTTCCTGCAGCGTCTAGAAATGGGGAAATAAAATTATTCTGCAGGTCAAAAGAAGGTAGGAAGTAAGAAAAACAAGACGCTACGTGTCACGCTGGCAGTTACACAATTGTAAATATACCCCTCTGCTATCACCCAATTGAGTTTAGGCCCCATGTAGTCATATTGCTGCAAATAAAACACCTGGGTGAACGTTTTTGGACTCTTTTAATTCTGGGGGTTTATTTGTCTGAAAAATAATTTACTCTTCCCTAAGGGGGTTATAGTCATTAAAACTCAAAAGTAGAACTAGGATATTCGTCAGGAGGGGTGGGGGGGGGGGGGGGTCTTAAATTAGAAATAGAAATAGAATAAAATTTTACACTGTTAGTCAACTTGAATTGTAACAAAACTAGAACTAGGATAATTGTATAAAATTATCCCCTTTTTAAATTTTCTATACAAAAATGATAGTTCTAGTTCCTCAAATTATCCTAAGTTTACCTTGAAACTAGGTCATAAAAAACTAGAACTCTCCATTTTGTTTTCTTTTTTCTTTTTGGTCAATGAAAATTTTTATTCATTACCAATATATGGAAGTTATAATACATCAACATCTTTCCTCAAGACTGGTTACAGAATTCAGTCTTCAAAATTAAAAATTCTCTACATAGCTCTTTATGTGGTGTGGTATATTATCATTCAATATCCTTGTATATACATGTATCTTTATCAATCTAAAGAGATGATCAGGGCCTCTTGATTGAAGCTGAAATATACGAAAATTCCTCTCTTGCCAAATCATATAGACTGAAGTAGATAATGCCAACCTTTTAAGCTTTATTTTGAAACTTTTCCCTCTCAAATTGTTCCCAAACCAGCTGGTGATTTGATCCCAATTACATGATTTCCATTTGAAGCATAGCCAATTCATTACTTGATTCCAAACTCTAGCTGAAAATTGGCATTCGAAGAAAAGGTGTTGACAGGTTTCAATCTGTCCTCCTCTTAAACATAGGGTGCACTGATTTGAGCTCAGAACCCTCATTTTGCAAAGTCTTTCTTGTGTTAAAAGCCTTGAAAAGAATGCCAACCAGAGAATAAAGGAATGTTTAGGTAGATTCCATCCACCCCAAACAGTCTCAGACCATGTAGTAAGATTTGAGTGTTGAAAAATTCTCCTACACATCACTGAAACTTTGATTTTGTCATTAGCACAGCTGCCATTGATGACATTCTGGAGATTATTCACACTACCAAGTTTATCAATCAACAAATTCCTCACTCTTAAAAGTTGTCTCCACTGCCATGAATCACTCTTTCTTGGTTGGACTTGCCAGATAGTATCTTGTCTTAGATAGTGACCATGAATCCACTTAATCCAAAGGATATCCTTCTTAAGGTGAATCATCCAAAGAAGTTTGGCCGCCATAGTATAATTCCAATGCACAGCAGAGTATATTCCAAGACCCCCATGATCAGTTTCCTGGCATACAGAACTCCAGTTCACCAGGTGAATTTTATGTCCCCATAAGAAGTCTGAGCACATTTTATCAATTTTTTGAAGAACTTTGATAGGGAGTATGTAGTTACTGGTCCAGTAGATTTGTATCCCCATAATTACTGATTTTATCAGTTGTAACCTGCCAGCATATGAGAGGGATCTTCTCTTGAGCCAATTATAAAACTGGTCTGAAATCTTATTAATGAGGGGAGAGCAATCCAGCAAAGAGAGTCTTTTAGCTATCAGAGGTAGACCCAGATATCTCAAAGGCAAAGTTCCCACAGAGAAATTAAGAAGATTGCAGATTTGGTTCTTCATATTATCATCTACTCCACTCATGAATATAGAACATTTTGATGGGTTAGCTTCTAGGCCAGATGTCCTACTGAATTCAGTTAGACAATCCCTTAGTCTTGATATTGTATTCATATCAGCTCTGCCAAAAAGAAGTAGATCATCCGCAAAAGCTAGATGTGTTATTTTCAGTCTTGAGCACTTAGGATGAAATTTATAAAGCCTGTCCTCCTTGAGAGTGTTTAATTTCCTAGACAAATATTCTATTCCAATAACAAACAAGTAAGGTGATAAAGGATCCCCCTGCCTCAAACCCCTAGCACCTTGAAAATATCCATGAGTAGTACCATTAATAGATATGGAAAATTTAGGGGTAGAGATGCACTCCATAATCCAGGAAATCATGTTGTCTGGGAATCTTAAACCTTTCAGCATGTCACTGATGAACACCCAACTAATTGTATCAAAAGCCTTTCTCAAATCAATATTTAATATGGCTCTAGGGGAGTTGTTTTTCCTGCCATAATGCTTAACAACCTCATGAGCTAAGAGGATATTACTTGATATAAGCCTACCCTTCACAAAAGAACTCTGTGCATCACTTATCAGGTATCCCATTACTTTTTGAATTCTGGATGCAATAATTTGGTTATGATTTTATACACACAGTTGCAGCAAGACATAGGTCTAAAATCTGCAGCATATTGAGGATTAAGAACCTTAGGTATCAAAGTAATAGAAGTGGAGTTGAAAGTACCAAGCAGTTTTCCTGATATGAAAAATTCTTCCACTGCAGAGAAAAGTTCTTCACTGATAACACTCCAAGATGCTTTGAAGAATAGGGCATTGAAACCATCTGGGCCTGGACTTTTATCATTTGACATAGAAAAGACAGCTTGTTTAATCTCATCCCTTGTAACTGGAGAACTCAGCTCATGCCTTTGACCAGAAGAGAGAAGAGGGCCATTAGCAATAACCATTGGGTCAGGATGAACTGTTTGAATTGAAGTCCCCAATAATTTTTTGTAGTAATCCACAATTTCAGTAACAATTTCAGCACTGTCAGTGATCCTAATTCCATTCTCTGTATAAAGAGATAGAATTCTGTTTTGATGCCTTTTCTTTTTCATGATAGAATGGAAGAATTTAGTACCTTTATCCCCATCAAGGCACCAATTAATGTTAGCTTTCTGCTTGTAAAAAGATGATTCACAGTCCAGAAGCCTTTCATATTTTTTGGTACAATTTTTCTCTCTTTTTATCAGATCAGGGTTGAAAAGATCCCCACTTAATAGCCTTTGAACTTCAGTTAAGCTATTTTTTGCTCTAAGAACTTGCTCACTTATATTCATATAGTGCTTCTAGCCTTTGAACTTCAGTTAAGCTATTTTTTGCTCTAAGAACTTGCTCACTTATATTCATATAGTGCTTCTTATTTAAATCTTTAAGAGCAGTCATTTTTTGCTCTAAGAACTTGCTCACTTATATTCATATAGTGCTTCTTATTTAAATCTTTAAGAGCAGTTTTAAGCATTTTGAGCTTAGAATGGAAACTGTACATTTTGAAACCATCTATGTTTTGCTCCCAAACAGCTTTGACTGTAGGAATGAAGTCAGGGTGTTTTACCCACATGTTGAAGAATTTGAATGGCCGCTTACCAGTTATAATATCATCTTCTATGGTTAGAAGAGCAGGAGAATGATCAGAGCAGCTAGGTAGCAGATATTCAACTTGGCTGTTGTATATAGATGAACCCAGTCTTCATTCACTAAGCATCTGTCTAATCTGGACCAAATTCTTGTATCTGCATTTTGTTTATTGTTCCATGTGAAGTAGCATCCAGTTGATTTCAGATGCAGAAGGTGATTGGAGCTGATAAAGTTCTGAAAATCCTCAATATCAGATTCTGATACAGATACACCTCCTATCTTCTCATCATAACTAGTAATTGCATTGAAGTCCCCTCCAATAACAAATCCTCAATATCAGATTCTGAAAATCCATTTTTTTTTTCTTATTTTCATTTTTTATATTTCTTTCATTTTTCCTTTACCTCTTTTCCTCTTTTTTGCAATGATCATCACCATCATTAAACCATGCTATCAGATCGGATGTCGTCTCCTCTTGGCCATCTCTTTTATTTTCTTTTTTTTATAAAATATTATAATAATATAATTAAATTAAAAGTAAAGAAAGTTAAGATCCATAATTTATTTAAAAATAAAATTGAGAGAAGACAGAAAGAGATATCGGGGAGCCAAAAAAGAAGGAGAATATGGAGAATTTTTTTTAGACTTGTACTGTATTAATAATTAAAAAATTAAAAAGCTACAACATATATTATAATAATAATTGACAATATCCTATAGCCTAATCAAAAGTTTTTTTAATAGTAATTAACATAATGGTAAACAATTAATCAATAATAGTAAGTTAAAAATACATAAATAGTATTTATATCATCATAATGCATAAATATTTACTTCATGATTATAAAAATTTATCCCACATTATTTTATCAAAATATCACGCTTTATAAAAGCATTCCTATTTATCTTACTAAAATATCCCACTAACAAAAACTTAAACCACTTTAACAATTATCCCAATTTGCGTAAAAATATCCTAATTTACTAACACCCCCTAAAGGTAAAAGTGTCAAAAAGTTTCAATAGGGAGGTCTACGATCTACAATAATACACTTACGTATCCATAAATGGACAATGGTACAAGGGGTCTATTCATAAGTAATCCTTCATGCAAAACACTGTATATACGTAATCGATATAATGGGTAAAAATTACTGCAAATAGTTAAACATCAATACAAATTCCAAATCAATGTAAACCCTCACAAGATCAGGCAAGGATTCTCTGCATTCTCCACATATGGTCATGTGGATTAATAGTATTGACTCATTCAGTGGGCTCCAATATTAAAAGGACTTTATAAAATGAATATCATTCATGGGATTCACTGGGTGAGAAAAATATGATCGATGAGTTGTAGAGATTCTCTATAACCAAGAATGTATAAGATCTCTACTTTTTTCACTATAATAAAAGCCTATTGTATGAGGCTTTTTTTCCACATTAGTCCCTCAAATCTTCCATGTTTGAAATTAGCCTCTGAAGCTTTCATGAAATTAGTCCCTCAAATTATTCATATTTGAAACTAGCCCCTCAAATCTTCATATTTTGTAAGTGGTCTATCAAACCTTATATTTATCATCTAAATTATTAACCACGATTGGATATTGATTAATTAGGGATAGATAATTACCAAATTAACCAAAATCACTTCAAAATCCACCAAAATAACGCTCAAAATCAGTGATTTTAAAGTCTAATACTGCACAACCTTTCCCAACTTGTACTCCAATGAAGTTTTTTAGGGTTTGGATTTGAATAAATATGATGTAATTGTTACACTCAAAATGGTTAATGACGACAGAATATTATCTCAATTGTAACTAGCCTCTATACGTAGGGACTAATTTTCAATCACTTAAAAGATTTAGGGGACTAATATGACAAAAAAATCCTATGTATATACTAATCATTTTTTCAGTAGATTTCTTTTGCCTTTCAAGTATACCAAGTAAATGGGGTTTCATTTTCTTCTTATTTTTATTTGAAATAAGCTTCATTGTATAATTTATAGGGTATAATCAATTTGTCAAGTCTTCAAAAAGATTATAATTTGTAGCGTATCGTCATGGAAAACCACACTATAATTAATACATTTTTGAAAATGAATTTAGAAGATTAATGTATATTAGTTCAACAATTAGTGCGCGTGCTGAAATAATTTAAGTATTCACGAATTTTTTTCCTTTTTGTAAAATTTTCATATTTAGGTTCTTCCTTCACCTGCTTACAAGTATGAAAGTTTATTATATATTGGTATATTTAATTAATTTTTAATTGATGTACACAAAAAAAATTTGTGGCCAGTAAAATCAGTGTAATTCTCTATATGATTTTTTTTTGTTGAGTAGAACTAAAATACCTTATAGCTTTACTCATTTAGCACTTATATAAACCCAAGTTATTTTTCATAGCAATAACATACCCTAAGTTATTTAAAATTGGAACTTTAGTACCCTCTATTATGCAAACATGAAAATTTCCACCCCAAAGTTCCTATAAATTTTAGAGAATTTTAACCATTAATATTTATTAAATTTACTATTAACCCTACCAAGGTCCTAATTTAAATTGTAGTTGATTCTATTTTAAAATAAAATTTGGATAGATTTAACAGTAACTTCAGTAAGCTTAATAGTTAGAAAGTTATAAAATTAGCATATGAACGTTAGATGAAAACTTTCGGATGAAAATTTTACATTTGCATGATAAAGGGTATTAACGTGCCAATTTTTAATAACTCAGGGTATATAAATGTTATGAAGAGCAAGTGAGGGTAATAAGCCCCAAGTGACTGAAACTATAAGTCATTTAAGTGCTATTTAGCCTCTTTTTTTCCATTGAAATGGGAGAGAAATGTACATTAAGAAGTGTAGCTGTTGTATGTGAGTACACGTGGCAAGCATCCGGGGGTTGGTATAGTATGCACGCTTTTACAGTGGGGTTTGGTTTCAAAAGGGACGGAAGAAAATTTGAAATTAATGGGGAAGGGAATAGAATTAGATCAGAGAGAGAGAGAGAGAGAGGCAAGACCGAAGAAGCACGTTGGTTCAACGAAAGGCGTCGGTCTCTTTCGTCTACCATCCGCACCTAACATGGGAGCTCTCCAATATCTCGGTATTTAATTGAACTTGGATCTTTTTTGGTGATAGCGAAATGTGATATTTTGTGGTTAATAGTGATGTGTATATGTGTAGTTTAATGATTCTCAACTCATGTAAGTTTCACATAAAAGTGGTAGATGCAACTAAGATACTGAAATCGAATCCCTATGAAAAGAAGCTTTTTGGGTAATGAAGATGTGAGGCTAATACTACTTGGCAAGGTCGTTACTTCAAGCGAAGTCGAAACACGATGCAGGGTTGGGGAGAAAATTGTTAGCGCATGTGGCTAATCTGTAATAAAACAATGAGAACTAAAATATTGTAATTTAAAACTTCTTTCAAGTTTAGTTGTTGTGCGTTTATGAAACGTTATGCTTAAAGTAATATTTAGCCTACTCTGGTGCAAGGATCCCAAGCCAAAGATCTCCTCGATCTGTTAAAACCTTTCGGTTCAATAACTTTTTTGTTTAAGCAAAGATCTTTCGATCTGTAAAAACCTTTTGGTTCAGAACTATGTTCCTTCGGGCACAGACTAAAGCTTTCACGTTATCAGACTCTACAGCAGTTGTTGTGTGTTTTTCGTATCTCTTTTTTATCTCTTGTATCCAAAGTGCGCCTAACAAAACACCACTTAGCACCTCAGCCCAATTAGCCCCAATTCCCGGCTCATTGGCCCACAGCTCACGGCCCACTAGAACTTATGAGGGATTAATTAAATAAAAACAATTCCCGGCTTGCCGTTGGCAAACCTCAAACACAAGACCTTTGAGATATTAAAAAACTTTAATTTTCCGCTACACTACTAAGGATTTCTGAAAAATATCAGTAGTTAATAAATACATAGTTTAAAAACTTATTTTTAAAAAACGGTTTTGACCAAAAATATCCAACAAAAATCATGTCTAATCAGATGTTAATGAGCCTTGAATAGATGCTAGGTATGAAATTAACTCATCATTTAAACTAGTGGTCATTGACCATAACTTCTATTTAGACAACTGCTCTTTCTTAGCCTTTTTGTTCACAGTATTGAGAAAATGCGTGATGGTCGAAAAGCTTGAACACCGAAAAATCACAGAAAAGAAAAACAGCAGGCGCAAACATAAATCCCTAACGTTCAAGGAGAAGCAGACAAATCTTCACTTATCATATAACATATTACAAACTACACAAATTGAGACCGATAATCCCCAGACTCTCTATCTCTCTCAGAGGATTTAATTATGAATCCTCCTTCATTATGTATAGTTCCCTATGGTCTGATGGAACAATCTTTTTTATAGAGATTTCTGAGTACACCAAATACATAGAAAATATCAGAAAATACTAACATATTAAGATTCAATAAAAATTGGAAACAGATGACACAGGTAGAGACTGTCTGTAGTGCATCCGAGTGTTTCCAATTGTCAATGGTGGTATCTACATTCACTACTACAAAATCCCTTATTAGCAACGGTTAGAACCGTTTCAAATAAGCTTACTTGTAAAGATTTCAACTGTTTCTAATTCATTAGCAATGGTTAAAACTGTTGCAAATAGTCCGTTGCTAGTAAAACCGTTGCAATTAGCTTATAGCAACGATCAACAACCGTTGCAATAGTTCGCACCCGTTTCTATTAGAGTATTTTTATAAAAATTTAAAAATCCACGTCAGCAAAATAATGTTAGGGATTCGAAACAATCAAATCGAACCATTACCTTTCTGGACCTTGTTAGAAAGTTGAGCAAGAAAGAAATTCACCACAAATCAAAAATAAAAAACTTGTAGAAATAAGAACAAGAGAGAACACACGAATTTAACGAGGTTTGACAACGTGCCTACGTCCTCGGGAGCCACACCACACAATCTCTTTGATTAATTGAAGAAGGAATACAAGCACTCAAATAAGGGCTTAATCTCTCAGAGATTCTCTCTCTCTTTTTTTTCTTTTGATGGTTTTCACGTCCCCATTTAGCCCTAGAAACATATAGGTATATATATGAATCCCAGCTTAAACAGAATTCAAAACAGATTAGAAAACTGCCAGCTTAACTCGCGGTCGACTGCCGAACCAGTCACAGTCGACCATGAAAAGTCCAGAGACCAACTCAACTCCAGGGCCAGGCGCGCACCAACTGCCGTGGTCGACCAGAAAAAGTCCAAAGACTTTTTCTGTTTTTGTGCATGTTCGCGGTCGACCGCCGAGAGCACCGCGGTCGACCGTACTATAGTTTTCCTGTTTCCTTCAATTTGCTTCATCTTCTTGATTCTAGCTTTGGCTTCAGCTTTGGGTCTACACTTAGACTAACAATCTCCCACTTGGAGACCAAAGTGCCATCAGTGAGCTCTCC